TATTTAATTATCATAAATGTTTTCTATTTTACTAAAGTAGGCATACAAGCATTTCAAATTAATTTCCTGAGGGGGAAAAGGACATCTGATCACCATTATGCATTGTAAAAAGTCATTCTTTGGCCTTATATATTTCATTAAATTTAATATGTACACTTCACTTAATAAAATTAATTTCCTGTTTTTAGGTCATTTTTTCGCTTTGAAATGACTTAAAAATGTCTTTAATAAAATCTAATCAATTTAATTTTGAGAATCTAGCTATTATTTTTGAATTATTTAAAAAAGAGAAAATATTGATTAAATCCAACTGAATTAAAATGAGCATTTTCAAATTCACAATCATTTTCTGTTACACCGATCAATAACTTTGGTTATAATTTTCAGATTTTTTTAAAAGTACTGTTCGAGCTGCTTATTTTAAATGACTAATTTGAAATAAGCCAATTTAATTAATTGTTACTCAATCCATATTTGTTGAATTTAATTTATAATATTGCTTGTAGTCTGTTACCTCAATTCTATTGTGTAGATATAGGCTATTATTTTTTACAGTGTGGAGGCTAAAACAGGGCTACTTGAAATACAGATTGCACTGTAAAAAGGGCAAACTTAAGCAAATTACTTTGACTTGTTACAATTAAATGAATTAAGTTTGACAAACTTATTTTATGACAGTTTTCACTAATAAATTACGTTAGTTCTTTTTGGTGTAACAAGTTTTAGTTATTTATTTAAGAGAATCATTTCCTTCCCATTTTAATATAATAATAATAATAATAGTAACAGTACTTTTATTACAGTAAATCATTTCCTTCCCATGTTAATATAATAATAATAGTAACAGTACTTTTATTACAGTACAAATCATTTCCTTCCCATGTTAATATAGTAGCAATAGTAGCAGTACTTTTAGTACAGTACAAACCTTTTATGTTTTGTGGCAAGTGCAAGTATTGTTCGCCATTAATGATAAATTGCTTGTTACACCTAAAAGAACTAACTTAATTTATTAGTGAAAACTGTCATAAATTAGATTTGTTAAACTCAATTCATTTATTTGTAATCAGTCAATTTGTTTAAGTTTATACTTTTTACAGTGTGGGCTGTGACCACTCTGAGCCATATAGTTTATCAGCATCACTGTTTTTGAGCAGCAGAGCCGGAACACTTCACATTATCGGCATAACGCAGAGATGCGTTTCCCGAGTCATGACGCAAATTAATTCTTCAGCCAATCAAGGGGGCCCTAGGGCTTCAGCTTTACCTAGCCCTTATATTAATCTGGCCCTGCCTATAGTCATTTTTCTAATTGTTTTAGTGGCTAATATATTAACTTTCAAAAATAAGCTTTTCTGAATTTGTTATGCCACATTGTCAGTGTTTTTTAAAAAGGATAGTTTACCCGAATTAAAATTCTTCCAAGTCTGTTCGAGTTTCTTTCTTCTGTTGAACACAAATAAAGATATACTGATAAATGGTGAGGGGAAAAAAGCCACTGACTTTCATTGTATACTATGGATGTCATTACAATGTAATAAAAAAAACAACAACTAAATTTCTGGCAGCAGGGACGACGGTAAATTACTGTAAAAAACTGAAAAAACTGTTAGAATAAAAAATGTAGTTAATCTGTAAAAAGCAAACAAAAAACAGTAATTTCTTCCATAATTGAGTTTTTACAGATTTGAACTGTAGTTGCACTGATTACTACTGTCATTTTACAAATTATTACTGTAAATGTATAATTTCTTAATGTAATTATGCAGATAGTAATGTGATTATAAGGATAATTACTGTAATTATGCAGGTTATTAATGTAATTACAAAGATTCATTTATGTAATTATACATAAAATCTCTGAATAATACATGAAATTTTCCACTTTTAACATGCCTTTTTTGAGAACTTAATAATAATAATAATTATTGTTATTATTATTATTATTATTATTATTATTATTGTAATAATAATAATAATAATAATAATGGATTAATTTTTTTCTGGTTTTAAAATAGTATTATAATTTAAACTGTCTAAATTTTTTTAAATACATTTTAGAATGCATTTTTTGCTATGATTTGAAGTAATATTTTCAGCATGCTGAGCTTATGCTTTAGAAAACAATTATTATAAATAACCTTATTAAAAAAACATTTGTGTCTTTAAAAAAAAATACTTATTAATGTTTGGAAAAAAAGCCATTGACTTTAATTTTATTTTATGGATGTCAATGGATACTTACCCAACATTTTTCTGAATACTCTGTCTATCCAAATAAAGAAAGAAATTAGTGTAAAAAGAAGGCACAGTAACAAATGCACAAAAATGTTATAATTATTATTACTGTATTTGAAATATTTTTATGCTATTCAAAGCTTTGTTTATTAGATAAAAAA